TCCTTATTGATATAAATAAACTAAAGTAATAAAAACCATCGATGCAAGCGTGGACAAAATCATTACCTACTGGTGAGAATGACTTATCTAGGTGCCAATCAGTTGTGAGATTCCAAGTCGACTTCGCCTGAAAACCACAAACTGTGATCTGATCCGCACCCAGAACAATATGCACATGATAAATACAAAATACGCACATGATCTGTCGGAAACCTTACGACTAGTTACCAGTGCCTGTTCGCCAGACCGAGATGATTTAAACACTACAAGACTGTTCTGCTCATTTGACAAACCGCAGTCGATTTCAACCAAATCACTGAATCAAACTGTATACAAATGCTGGTTATTTTATTGTCTATTCTTATTATGCTTCTTATAGTTGGATAAAAGGTTTACTAAAACGATATTACCATCTCATAAAATAATAAGATTATCGTGTTTCTATACAACCTAAGAACACAATTATGGAATGAATTCAATCAGGTTAGACATAAAAAGTTGAATACTACAAGGAAGTCAAGAGTGTTCATAAACCGTAAGTTGTGGATTAGTTCTGAAACATAATATTAAAAGCTTTGGATGCTATTAATACCGATTACTTATTTAAGTTTTCTAAAATGAGCATCATTTAGAAGCACATCAAAATGAAATGAACATATATCACATTACGGCCTTGAAGCAGAATTACATTAATATATGTTCAAGAAATTTTTGAAATAAAGTAATGAAATTGATAAATCTGTTCAAACCAACATCAGATCAAATATTATGAATAGTTAAGCCTTACGGAATAAAAGAAGCTATATAACTTTTCTCGCTGTATTTAATATGATGATACGTGAACACAAGTATACGGCTGCTCAGGTATAAGAACTGCACGATAAGTGCTACCGGTTGACATGTTTAGTTAGAAATCATCTGACCAACCAGCTTATTAGTTCGATTTCAAAGAAGCGAAGCACCTATCATTATTGATCAGTCAGAGAAATTTCTAGCTACTCATGTTTATGAGAATAGCGTATTCTAAGCATCTTTTCTGTTTGCTGTATTGATGTTATTCTCAGCGTCGATAGAACTACAAATTTAACTGAAATTTATTCATCTGCAACAAACGCTCCAGCGTAGTTTTAAGACTGAATTATTTCTAATAGTGTAAATGACTTCAATGACTTTTCAGTTGATGTCTACTAATAGTGAACAATGCTCTCTTCGAATGACGTCTTAACTGCTTTGATTATCTTCGGTACATTGTTTTACGCCTATAACAGCTTACTTATTAATCTATCATGAATATACTACTGAACAGCATGAGTAGTTAGAAACCACTCAGGTTGATCTGTAGATTTAGCCAACCCGGTCAAAATGACCTAAACACTAGACTGCCATTTCGCTCGTTTGGGACTGAGTCGATCAGTGGTATAGCCAGACGAATTCAGCTGACAGAGTTGAGGTAGTTCAGATCACTTGAATCTGCCTAGCTGACTTACGTGGACCGGTGTAGCTAAAATTGCATGATTAAAATGCAAAAGGATCTACAAACTGCTGGAGGAATCCACAAATCAGTCAGAGTATTTGTCATTATACTACGTTGGTTTATGACACTTTTGTATCAGAGACTACATACTATGATCTTTGCCTGGCGGTTGTCTACGGAAAGCTTGCTGGCACCACAGTTGGCCAGTTGTGTGAAATGTCGACGCAGACCTTGCAACTTGTAAATCGTTTAGAAATTGTTCATTTTATTACGACAAGATTATAATGTTACGTTGTCCTGTTTATGAAGTATTATATTCAACGGTTGAATACCAAACAAAAACTAGTTACAGCATGAAGTACTTGCATCGAGGAGATTTTCGTTTCAGCGTGAAATAAAAACCATTTTTCAAACAACAGCTACTTGTGAGAGTCTCGTCAAGAAAATCCGTGTTTACTACCATTATGGAACTGTGACTGACAGCCAACTACGAAAAATATCTATCCATTCAGACAGTTTTATAATGGATAAATAAAAGATCCTTTCATTTTGGTGAAATTAAGTTATTGGTAATAAATATGTGTTAGTAGAACTACGTCTCCTTCCTTTTGTCTTGTAGTTACGATATTGTAACACGAAGTATTTAAAGTGGTCCAGAATTTAGGCTATGTTGGTATTGGGACCTATCAGCATGTTGTGTCTGCAACTATAAAGTTGTTTGATGTTGAAGCATTCAGTGAAAAGAATAGAGACCTTAACAAGAAAATATTTAGGAAAGATCAATGATGAGCGCCGCTGTCTTCATGCTTACATTGATATCCGTCGAATGATCATTGGATGTTGCTACATTTCTTCTGCCCTCATCTGGAAGTTAACCAATCTGGGAAAATCAGGTTCAGTACTTTATCCCTTGAGCCAAGTAAGATTTATCGCATTTTGATGATTTTTGTCTATTGTTTATCCTGGCTGGCTGGTGTATAGTGATACTTAAATTTAATTATATATTGGATTTCTTCGTTTGCTTTAACGCACACGGATGCAGTAATTTTCATTCATTTGCCCACCAACCTTGTGCACATTTTGGTGGTTGGCAGTGAGCTACATTTATTGTGCAAGGGTAAATTATATTAACTGATTGCCCAAACTTCGCAGTTGGGATGGTGTTCGGACTCTTTGTCGATAAGTTAGAAGTTGACCCTAAACCATTGAGTCAGAACTTCGTTGATACTCGTTTCCAGCATAATTTATTATTTATGATCACAATGATAATGTCACTGAATTGTGCTCAAAACATTGCTTAGTAAAGAATACTCCATCACTGTGAGACGTATTAAATAGAGTAATGTAATTTAGAATTACACTGATAACTATTTGTTGTTTCCCAGCTTTGAGGTCTGAGAGTGACGATTTCACTGAAACTTCGATTTGAAGTAAATGCTGGTGAAGTCACCTAGCCTAATGACAAAATGTCCGAGAATAAACCTCAGAGCTTGGGGAATACGAAACAATTATTATCCTCATCCTTAGTCACAAATCTCCTCTACTATCTCATAGAACTACACTGTAATATGGGATCCAAACTTCATAATATGATTGATAGATTGAATCTAATTACAAAACAAAATGCTGAGGGGAGTTTTCTATCAACTTACTGCGTAATAAAGTGATGAATATTTAGGACACTCAAAACTATGTTCACAAAGACCTAGAAGGATGGTTGTTTTCAGATGTCTGCCTTTATATCACGTGTGTGTCGTATAATAAACATGATTAATGTTCACTTTTCATATCATCGATGGTGAACTAAGATTAGGTGAATCTACTTAAACTACAGATAGGTTTGAATAGAGAACAGCTTTGTATATATATATATATATATATATATATATATATATATATATATATATATATATATATATATTCCATTTGACCATTTCATGAAGCTGAATGTGATAAGCATCTAAAAAGTCAGAGAACAATGCAGGTAAGTGAGTTAGCACGTATGCGATGAGTGACACAAGAATTGGAGGAAGCAACCAATCATATACCATTTCACCAAGACAAGCCACCTAGTGACTTGTCAGTAAGTTACATGGGATTCAAGTTGGTGATAATGACTTTGTCTAAAGAAGGGATATAAGCTTAACGAAAAAGCGCGCAATTACGAGAATGCAACATCTTCAGAATGCGAAATTCATTCCTAAGTAAAAAAGCAGTTCAGTTAACCGGGCCACCTAATCATCAATGAACGATCTCAAGCACTATGGTTCATGCGATTGAATAACTCGAATAACAATAACAAACATTTTGTAAAATCAGCAAGAAACAGCTCAGAGGTGAGCAGAAAGTAAGTTTACCTTAATTGCTCAAAAACATATACTTACCAACTCCTGTATGAAAAATTATTCAAAGCTGAGAATTTATACTTATTCGGAGAATAGTAGGAAAGAGATTTCTAGTATTCGTCCGTGTGTGATGGCTTAATTCTGGTCGATATGTTGCAATTTAATGAAATTTAAAGTGACAGTGTTTCTGAATGCAGTGATTGTGAACACAGGTTTTTTCGTCATACATCCAATCACTTTCATTCAGTTTTTCAGCATATCTGAATAGTGTAGGCCGTCAAAAATGGCAAGGATGTCAAGCTAAACCATTTTTAATTAACTCGAGTAGTTTTTCAGTAGTACCGAAGATTTTAGATTGAAATTCATCATGGACTGACATCAGTTAGAGGAACTTTGGAAATCTGGGAGCACTGGGTAGCTGTTTCGTTCTAGTATGGAATACCCCAGCAGTGGGTTTCTGTGATGCCGCCAGGGGTCGAACCCAGAACCTTCGGCTTCCGTGGCTAGCACGTCACATTTGAGGTAGTGGGTCGGAATCCAATGACCCACTTTTCTTACTCAGTGGCTCAATAGTAACTTGTTGACCACAGAACCTGAGGGTCCTGGGTTTGACCCCTGGCTGGGTCATGGGTGTGAACTGCTGGGGGACCCCATACCAAGACGAAACAGCTGTCCAGTGCTCCCAGATTTCCAAGGTTCCTTCCACTGATGTCATTTCCATGGTGAATTTCAACCTAAAATCAACTAATCAACCTCCATAAACCTCCTGATAGAAGTACTGAAAATTGTTTTGAAGATGGTGGATAGCTTATTTTCAAAACATATGGATAAGTACAAAGTTTTTAAGGCAACTTAAACCTACTCGACGGGAAGCACTGGGCAGCTTTTTCATCGATAACTTCTGAGCAGTTTGCACGCAGAATATCATAAATGGTTAGGATAACTGTTGTCAAGTTTATCCAAAACCACTTCGTAGTAAACTATCATATGATGTTATGGATGTGTATCCGATTATAACTGCTCAACATACTGCTCCATGCCTACAGTTGGTCAGAATGAAATTAGCTCCTTATGACGCATTATCTAGTATGTGTAAAATAAAAAGTTACAAATCAGAGGGCTTAGACAATAAAAATCTTATAACTGAAATGAATACACCAAATAGCATATATTTTACTTACATTTAAGTAGTTGGCCTTCATTTTAGAGTCATTTTCAAAGTAATTCATCAGAAAGCAATTCATTTGGTGATATTGACTCAAAATATCTGGAAAATCAATAAAAAATCGTGAGCACATATACTTCTCCATTGAAATTACATCAATTGTCTCCGATTGCTTATATCCTTCAACTAATAGTTTACAATATTTTAATAGACCACCACCGTGTATCTCTTCTGGTCTATGGGTTGCAATAACACAATCATTTAAGTGTGCCAACGCTTCAACATAACTCCCAGAAACTGATTCAGCCACAAGTGTCGGGTAGAAATTTTCATTCATTTGCTGTGAATGACCTTTAGATGAGTCGTAGAATGTTAATAAACTATCCAGGACAATTTGAAAACTGTCCACAGTGAATTCAAACTGACGATGCATACGATCAATGAACTTGATATTGATAATTTTCTCATCATTATCTTTCGATACACGATAACCGACTGAAAATGATAACCATGAATCAGATGTCTTAGAATTCAGTTTAAATACACGATAAGTTTTCTGTATATATTGTTTTACAATAATATCAATGTGTGAATTTCCTGTACAAGGTGTATTATTGTTATGATCATTACTGTTAGAAATATGTTTATTGTTTTTACTATGATATAAACAGTTTAATTGCTTTGAACACATTGAACATGCTACTGGCTGCAAACAGGAGTCGTATAAATAATACGGGTGTAAAGCCGATAAAGGATGATATGATGTACAATAATGAAGATTACATTTTTCTGTTTGATTTTCATTCTTTTGATGAAATTCACTCTTCTGGTGAGTCCGTGGCTGTGATGAATTTTCATTGCTGATATTTGATAGTTGAACTGTGTTAAGGTCATTCTCATGTAAAGGTTGACGATAATTTGATGATTCACTGGACGTTGAATATGAGAAGTTATGCTTATGCTTACTGATATCATACGTACTATGAGTATTACTTTTTGCATCCTCGAAATTTTCTTTGTTTAAATGAAAGCATTTATTAAAAGGGTGACATAAACAACAAGTACAAGGAAGACAATAGGAAGACGCTGGATCTCGTGGTATTTGTGTAGGTGACATGGTGAATGGGAGTGTACAATTGCAACAATATGTACAACTACGTGAAGAATGTGATAATTTTTCCATTCCAACTAAAATATGTTCCATACTTGCAAATACTACTGATTTAATTTTAGTACAGGTTGCAGAATTTGATAAATCAACTCGAAATATTAAATCTATATCACTGAATGTCGGCTTATTCTGTGAACCTTGATAAATGAATAAGTAAACAAATCGAAGAAAAGTAATTTTGTTGCTTAATTGACAGAAAAAAATGATCTTGAATAGTTAGTCGCTTTCAAAAAATTATTCTTCGTTACATAGTAATATTATTCTGTTAAAGAATTTTCTACACACTTTACTGCAGAAGAACACTCTACGTTGTTAGATTTTGAGGTTTATGAGGATTTATTGGTTTCAGGTTGCTATTCATCGTGGAATGATATCAGCTGAAGAACCGTTAAAACATGGAAGCACTAAACAGCTGTTTTGTCCAAGTATAGGACTCTTCAGAAATGCTCACCCATGCCACCACCAGAGATTTAAAGCAAGGGAAGCTACGGAAATTACAGATATCTCATTCATTTACATTTGATGGAAATCAGTTTGCATCCATTCATAGAGTCTTGAACAAAGCAAAAAATCTGCTTTGATTTTCAGTCAATGTAACGATCGAAACCTCTCCTGGAGGAAAACTATTTTTTGTGGATATCTTGATTTCTAGTTGGTTAGTTGAATACAAGTCCATTCAGGGAAGTGATAAGGGAATTGTGAACACATTGGACTTTTTAAGGTTTAATTAGTAACATTAGTTATGCTTTCTAAGATTCGTAATTGCTGACCATTAATTTAGCAGTTGCATGAATGGAGTAATGAACATTTAGTGATTGATTCCTAAATGCACTTACAACACAAGCATATACTTCATAATCACAAGGTTGAACTTAGACTCTTTCTTGTGAACAGTCAGTAGTTGTAGTCAATTATCAATGATCTAGGAATATACGTTCCTGTACTGATTTCAAGCTATAGTGAAAACTGATTTCAAATGCAAAAGTCCATGACAAACTACTCTTAGTCTACTGATGATTCAGTGAGACGGGGTAAAGATTCACGTTGACAGGAAAACTCTAGTGGAGAGGTTATTCGAAACACTGTTCTCACTCTCCTACTCCGGTGTTCTATCACCTGAGATACTAGGCCTGATTGCTGACTACATTTTAACTACACCTCAGTCACCTGGGGTTTAGGTTGACTCTTTTGCGATTGTGTAGTGCATAACTGTCAATTCATAATGCTTACATTATCTGTCCATCCAAGATATCACAAACCGATCCCAACTGAGCTGAGTTAGACTGAGGGAGCTATCACAGTTAGTCTTACAGATGATTCCCTGCCAGATTACACTTTTATGTGGATATTTTTTATACTAATCAAAAAGCAGGAGGACATCTTCGCAGTGCGTACATGTTATATGATGTGCAGTTTCATCAAAATGATAGAAACGTAATCAGAAAAATAGTGTTTAAGAAACATGTGACGTTTTCTAAATGTTTCCTTTCAACTAGCTATTACAGTATTTACAGACAGACGTCAGCTACTCATTTATAAGCACTCAAGTGATCGTAAAATAATCTAACGGATCTTTCGGATCTTTTAAAAATGTAAATCGATTTATCAGTGTTCAGAGTTCTTTTTTAAAAAAAAAATCATCCACGTACTGCAGATGTTTTCATAAAAACGGTTTTCTGAAAGGTAACCAGCTGATTGTAAGGCACACATATTTTAAGCTAGAGACTAGAAAACTAATCAGAAGGAGATCTACAGGAAAAGGAAATTATTGCAAGAAAAACTATCAGTTTGAAGTCTTTATTACGCTATTTTATATTTTGGGCCTCAAGTGAATGTTTATCATTGTATCACTCGTAATTATCGCTAAATAGTCAAGGATCTTCGACGTGGTGTCCTCAAAAACAATGCATCCATATGCAGTTGTGAGGAAACTTGTAAACAACCATCAAACGACTGGGGGTAATGAGCTTTTAGCTGGAAAAACACTAAGATGGAGTCCATTTCTATGAAGATTGGTTCCCTGACTCCACACAATCTGATTGGAAACTGTTTTATCAAGAACACCGTTCTTTAGATATTCTAGAGATCAACAGTAATCTTATTTCTTCGATACTTACCTACAATACAGCCTGCAGCTCCACCATTTATGCGTATTTCTTTCACTGGTACAGATTCTTCAACTAATCGGTCGCGAACTGTCTTGATGAGTTTCTTCAGTTGTACGCGAATGGTTGGAAGTTTCGGTGGAATAAGGAAAGGATTGACTGAAGCATTTGTTGGCGGATGGATATGTGAATGAAAAGCGCATTTGTTTTGGGAGTGTAGATCAGGACTGCTCACAGGTTTAGCAGTGTGTGCCTTGCATTTTTCGTAACATAAAATATCAGAACATGTTGTTTTAGCCTTACTGTTTACTGAGGGTACAGTCGTTGCGGTTCTGAAGGGTTCAGGAGTAATTACATCACTAGCACTATTATTATCTGTAGCATTTTCAGTTCTAGTTGAAGGTAATTTAGAAAACTGAGATGGAGTTTTCTCAGTAATGCCTGCAGATATCCGTCCTTCTATATAACAAACGTATGGTTCTTGTGTACAAAAGCAAGAGGATGATTCTTGAATGACCTCTGAAGTATCCGTATCTATGAGATTTTGTAGCCTAGGTTTTGGCGCAATATTTACATATGAATTCATAACCGCGTCTAGACGTTTGACTTGTTCAAAACTAAAAACATGATACCGGTTTGATGTGTATGAAGGATTAGATGTATTGAAATCAACATTCATCGGTACGTCTGCTAGAGAAGGTCCTGAATCTTTACTACGTTTAAATCTGCCATATTCAGAGCGTTTGTAATGTATACTACTTTTAATACTACTGTTATTATGATAGTAATTATGTGAACGATAAAATGAAGCATAGTTTTCATTTGCATCACTCTCGCGATTATTATAATAGTAATATGAGTTTGTTTTGTATACTGAATAGTCCAAAAAACTAAATGATCTTCTTTTCTTATATTTACTTTGAGTTAAATTTAGAAGGTACTTTGTTTGTTTGTTTTTATAATTTGTGATATATTTCGGTAGTTTCATATTCATTTCATAATCAACATTTTCTTGTATACTATGCATTTTCGGGAATGATTCTACTTTTGTTTTGAATTTACGCTCGTTTACACTGTTGCTATTTGAGGCATCATTATTGTACAGATTATTATTACTTGCTAAATGTTTCAATGAACTGCATGTTAATTCATTTTTTGAAATAACTGGGAAAGTTGTTAAAGAAGTGGGAGATGATTTCGAATCATTTCTACATTCTCTATTCATTATGTTATTATTTTGAATAGATTTCACATCTAGTACATTGACATTTCTGGGTAATGATATGGTAAGAATTGTAGGAAGTTTTTCAAGAAAAAAGGTTTCCTATTTAGCTGGATCAAAATGAAATAGTTATAAACGTAAAACGAAAGTAATATATAAGGATTTTACTGGAAGAAATATCGAATATCCTTTTGAAACTGAGGAGAAATAAAAGTGAATAAAAACATCAACTATCGCCACCACTGAAAATATATTTGAATACCGTTTAATTGTTGAAGCGAATAACTCTCGAATGTACTTTTCCTGTAATGATTCCTCATTGAAGACTCAATCTATGATTTTTCCAATCAATTTTACCTTATTTATTTGTGATTCGCTAAATTCCGTATCATAACCTTGACCCATGAGATCCTATTGGTAGATACATATGGTCTATATCCTATTTTTAGAGAAAAAGTTACTATTGGTTCAGAAATACTATTATGTGACATTTTCGGATGGAAATAGAAACAAGTTGAGAACAGTATGTTTTGTTTTTCCAATGCATGTAACTGTAAGGTCGCTTAGTGAAAAACTTTCATTAAAGACATTGAGACGAAAACGAAACAATTTTGAGGTGCAATTTAGGCAGAAGTGTATGATGTTTTAGAAGAGTAAATATACTTCTTGTTGAGTGTGCTTTAGATTTTACTAATATTGAAAAACATCAAATTAAAAGCTTTTAAAAATCAAATAATTATTTCTGCAAAATGATTGGTCACAGATACATACAAATAATTTCCAATGTATTAAACCTGAGCATTATCCGACTTCATAATGATTTCATCCTTATACTCAATATGAAAGGAGATTATACTAGTAGAGGCTTGCTTACTTAAGCAGGAATCGGAAGTATTCACTGTTGCTTTACCTGGAGTTGCATGAACAGGTGTTCTAGTGACTTTAATGTGACAGCCACTCAAAATAGCCTCTGTTTTACAAGATACTTACATATGGGGGGGGGAATGGTTTCGGACGGTGGATTTATGAATACTTTTTCACAACACAAAAAAACTAATTGGATTTTACCCCAGTTGTAAGGTTGACGGATATTCTTGGTAAACATTCACGCAACTTGAATAAGCTTTACTTCCTCATTAAATAAATGCTAATGAAGTCGCCTAGTCTGGTGTTGAAATGTCAAGGAAAAACTTCAGAGTTTGGAGAAAACTAAACAGTTATCCTCAGCTCAGTAGAATCGGTTGATCAGAATATACAGAATACCAGAATGTGATATGTTTTAGGCATTTGTCAGTGTAAGGTTGGGAAAAATGGGCGTTGAAATGCTTGCTAGTTTGTTTAATATAGACTATACATGATCAACATTCCATTTAGATATATGAGTAGGCCCCTAGACAGTCATATTAGTTAAAAGAAAACTCGAGTCAGAGATGAGCATAACCAGACATATTATTTTATCAATTATAAAAAAACACAAGATTTATTTATCATCAGCATGTTGAACGGCTTGGTGTTAGGGCTTTTTTGATTCATCATTCACGAATGTAACCTAGCCTGGTTAACTAGTTCACTAGTTACTAGCCAGTACGAAGCCCGGGTAAAGATGGATAGTTGGACATTGGGCTAGCAACCCTACCCCGGAAAACCAATCCAATCGCTAAAGAAACTTCAAAGTACAAAGAAAATACAAAAAATAAAAACAAACTTATTCCTCGCTGGAATCGGAGCAACGACGTGTATTCTCTCGATGACAGCGAAAGTAAGATGGGGACATGGAATGTCCGCATCATGTATGAACCTACCGAGGCTGCCCAGACTGCAAAAGAGATGAAAAGGTATAGCTTAGAAGTGCTAGGAATCTGTGAAAGTAGATGGAATGGAAGTGACTGTCCAAACTGTCAACGACAGAGAAGTCAATAATCTAATCTACACTGATACTGTCACCCAGATGACAACAATGAGCAAACTGAGTTTTGGAGTGGCTGTCATGATGACCCCAACACCATCGAAGGCTCTCATACAGTGGGAACCAATCTCCTCCTACAGGATAATTACAGGAAGATGGATTCAACTCAAAAGGAAAGAAAGTCACAATCATACAATGCTACACTACGCACCTACAAATAATGCAGACGAAGAGAAGAAGAGAGGAATTCTACAGACAACCGCAATCGGTACTAGATAGGACTCCAGTTGGTGACACCAAAATTATAATAGGTGACATGAATGCCGAATTGGAAGCAGACAACACGGGAAGAGAACCAATCACGTGTGGAGAAGCACTAGGCGAAATGAACAAGAATGGAGAGCTGTTTGCATATTTTATGAATTCAACGATTTGGTGATTGAAGGCACTATGTACAAAAACGAGGATATTCACAAAGCTACATGCATTTGATTTCACCATATGGACAAACTACACTGAAAGTCAGATCGACTTCATCTCAATGTGAAGAAAGTGGTGACGCAGCCAACTAGACGCAAGATCAAGAAGAGGAGATGTAGGTTCAGACCACTGTCTAGTGCAAGGAACCTGCCTTCAAAATGAAGTTGAAAACCTTCACAGAAGTTGATAATAGAGCAGAATTCAAGTTCAACACCCAGAACAAGCACTGAACTGAAGGACAAAACTACAAAGGACATCTTCACATCGGTCAGCAATCAAGACAAAATGGGAGATATTGAGCAACATCCATGAAGAAACCTGTGTGAAAGAACACTGGAATTTATTGAAAGAGATGTGGAAAGGAACCTGCATAACCGTATTAGGAAGTAAGAGGAAACAAGACAACGAGTGGATCTCGACGGATACCTGGAAGTTGATAGAGGAGGAGGAAGAAGAAGAAGAAGATGAACCAGTGCAAGGATGCATAAAGAAAAGAAGAACTCAGTACAACGTACAAAACACTAGACAAACAAGTGAAGAAGAGTACACGCAAAGACAAAAGACACTTCTACGATACACTGGCAAGCGAAACAGAACAGTCTGCAGGTAGGAGAGACATGACAACATTGTATAAATAACCAGGTTACTATCTAGGGATAGATCAACGCAGTCGAAACCAATGAAAGATAGTGAACGAAAGCTAGTTACCGAACAGGAGAAACAGTGGAAACAATGGGCTGATGAGTTCAGAAAGCTATTGAACCGACTATCACCTACAACACGTCCGGAAATACCACCAGCAACAGCAGAAATGCAAGTGGACCTAGGCCCTCCGACAAAAGGAGAAGCTTTGATTACCATAAAGTTGCTGAAATCCGGAAAAGCAGCAAGACCAGATGGAATTCCACCAGAAGCACTTAAAATAGACTCAGAGACAACAGCAGACATGCTCACATTACTTCTGGAGAGGGTCTGGATGGAAAGGAATGTACCTGCAGATTTAAAGAAGAGCTACCTTGTCACACTTACAAAGAAGGGTGACCTAAGTCTTTATAAGAACAAGAACTGGCGCGGAATCATGTTAAACTCCACCTCAAGCAAACTATTATGCCGCATCATCCTGGAGAGACTGAAAGATGCTCTTGATTCAAAATTGCGATCGGGACGGGCTGGATTCAAGAAGAACAAAATCATGTGAGGACCAAGTCGCTACGCTTCGCATCATCATAGAACAGAGTATAGAATAGCAGTCAACTCCACTAAATCTCAACTTCATCAACTTTGAAAAGACCTTCGACAGCGTCGACTGAGAAGTAATTTGCAGTTGGTCCAAAACTACGGAGTGCCATAAATCTTTATCAACCTCATTCAACAGCAGCTATATGCTATGTGATGCAACATGCCAAGTGATCCTCAATGGGAAGCTCAGTGACGCCTTTGAAGTGAAGACAAGGGAAAGGAGTGAGACGAGGTTGCCGCCTACTATCACCGACCATCCTCCTGATTGTGATGGAGTGGAATGCATTATGAAACAAACCGTGAGGAGCGAGAAGATGGGCATACGCTGTTTGACCGATGAAAAGACCCTAGAAAATTTGGATTTCACCGATGACCATTTATGTCTAATGTCGTACAAACTCCAAGATCTACAGGCGAAAACTGACAAGTTGACAGAAGAGGCAGCGAAGTTTGGTCTTCAAGTGAATGTAGAGAAGACAGAAGTGACGAAGATAACCAACAAAAAGCACTAACCACCATCAACGGGAGAAACCTAAATGAAGTAGTTTCTTTCACTTACTTAGGCTCATCGTTTCAACTACAGGGGCACGGGCACAGACGGCGGTATCAAAGACAGGATCGATAAGACAAAAAGACAGGCCTTCCTGCATTATTATGAAATCAGTGTGGAGATTTACTGCATTATAATGCACTGCACTCAGCGTGAAGCGTGAACAACATCCTGATTTTCAACACCGATTCAGTCAAGCTAGTGTTGGTATATGGTCCAGAAACTTGGCGTGTCACGAAAAGCACTGACAACAAACTACGGACATTCATCAACAACTTCATACGCTCGATACTGAAGATCAAATGTCCAGAAAGAATAAGCAACAGGGAACTCTGAGAACGAACCAACAAAGAACCCATTGCCCAACAAATACACAGAAGGAATCGGAGGTGGATTGGACATACACTAAGATGGCCGGCTGGGGACATCACTCGCCAGACCAGGCCGTCGAGTGGAATACAAAGGAGAAACGACTAGTCGGGCTTCCGAGATGAGGGTGACATGAAGGAGATGGTGCTAGGAAGAAATGAAGCTTGTGAGAAGTCATGAAGTGAGGTTCAAAAGACGGCAGAGAAGAGAGTGGAATGGAGGTGTGCTACTGAAGCCCTATGTTCCACTAGGAACCCAAAGGAAAAGTTATAATAATAGTATTCACGAAAGTACCTTTTATGGTTCCGAAATGACTGGATACAAGGAATAGTCACTTGTTTTACATTACTATTCTTTTTTCCATAAATTACAAGAATTTTGGTGGAAAATTGAGTGACCTATTGTTGGAGTGAAACTGTGTACTGGACTTTGTAATTATGGGCAGAATAAACCATGTGAGATGTCAGCCTTTCAAGTAAATTTTGAAATCACTTGATTCAGAAAATCAGCAGTAGGCGGAGGCATAACCGTAGCTGAAATGGAAAAGTATCTCCAGTGGACTGTTTTTAAAAACTTTCTTATAACTTCACATTTAAATCTTAGTTTCTCCATGCTCATCGAAAATTTCTAATTCAGTCACCACACACGTGTACCTTCGTGCGGTAGGCCATAAGCCACACTGATTATATGAGGCCTAATGATGATACCTGTCTGCCCAGAATCCAATAGATGAAGAGAGTTTTAAACTCGTGGTTGAAATTCAACAGCTTTTACCAGCGAGCAACAGCTCTC